TTTTGACGAACTCTTCCTTATTGTATAGTGGAAATCAATATCATTTTGATTAAAATTTATGTATTCAAATTATAAAAAAAAATTTAAATCTGGTGACCACTTTAAATATAAATATTAAATATATTGCAAAAATTGCTTACAAAAATAATAATTCGATAACTGATGAATTCGATTACGATAATAAACAATTCGATTACATTACGCATTTATCGATTTTTCCGTAACTTCAGGTAATTTTAGGATATGTGGTGATTCCGAATATAACAATAAATATTTTTTCTTTTACTAAGTTTGAATAATCAAGCATTCAATCACTCAATCATTTGATTTAATTAAGAAAACTCTGACTTTGAAACATCGAATCTAAAATCCATCCAAAAGTCGATTACTTTAAAAAAAATACAAATTTCTTGTAATAAATTTTTTATGAGCAAAGTTTAAAATTATTCAAAAAGTTACCTCAGATTTGAGTTAAAAAAAGACAATCGTTTCTTTACTCTATCACTATCATCTGCAACAAAGTAATTATCCGAAATGTTTTTAAAATTATTTGAGCTATTACTGTATAAAAAATACGCAACTTTTCTGAAAAGACTAAAGCTTTTAAAATGACATTTTGTTTATGTTAGAAGCTACGAATAAAAAAAATGTTTATTTATTTATTTTTAAATGTTTATAAACAAAACTCTTATTTTGAGAATTGTTTTTCTAAACAATACTTCTCTTAACGAAAATATCTATTACTGAAATGACAATTTGTATATCCTCTAAAAAATTAATAATAAAAAAATAATCGAGAATAATTCGTAATTTATCCCTCTCTGTATTTTCAATGCAACGATGTTTTCTCTATTTCTGATACAGCTTCGAGTTATCGAAGTTTTGTGTAATTGTCAGTAACGATAGAAAAAGATCATAATTCTACAGCAGACAACGATATTATTGTTATCTTGATATGAATACATAATGATACTTATCTTGGAAATGCAAACATGCCGCTCCTTTATGAGTAATTTCCTATTTTATATTTTTACTGAGTCAAACCTTGTTGACGCTCAATTATCAATTATCGATTTCTTTCTGTATTATGCAAATGTCCTATTTACATTTTTTTTAAATCAAACATACAATTGATAACATAAAGTATGCAGAGTGCTTGAAGGGTTTCTGAAGAATGTTTAACATAATAAAAAAAAAAAGATTACCGACGAGATTTTTTCTAAAATCCATGATTTGATCAACAACGGAATTTATTTTAAAACTTTTTTTAATGGAAAAAAAAGAGAAAAAAACTTACAAACCTGTAAAGTTTGAATAAATGGAAAATTCGGGGGTTTCATACCTGGTATAAAAAGCATAGAAAGAAGGGAGATTAAACTATTTTGCATATCATCATCATCATTGGCGTGACAGCCCTGTGTGGGCCCTGGCCTTCTCGAGGATTCTTTTCCATCCTAATCTGTTCTCATCAGCGGTTCGCCAGTTCTTTCTGTTCAGTACAGGGAAGTCTTTATCTAAAGAAAATTCTCATCTAAGATGAAACACTATCTAAACATGACAATAAAAATTAGTTTATGTTTTGATAAAAAAAAAGGAGTGACAAATGATAGTTTCTGAACATATCACTTTTTATAACTTTATCATATATTTTACATTAGAATTAAAAGTTTTTTCAAAGATTTTGTTTTGATAAAGAAGTGATAGGAATTGCAATGGTACAATTGCACAGTGGAGCCTATGTTTCTATTAGATTAATAGTTTCTGGTCATATCACTGTTTAAAATTGTACAACATATTTTAAAATGTGTCAAACACACACACTGTAACACACATAGAGTAGCAACTTTTTCTAAATAACGACAGTCAGAGACACTTTTTATTTTGAAGAAAACTTGACAGAAAAATAATACAATGAACACTTAAGCAAGTTATTTCAGAAATTTGCTAAGTGGAACTTTTGTTTTTATGAGATAAATAGCTTCCGGTCATATCATTCTTTAAAATTTTGCCATATATTTCATATCTTAGTTGAAACTTTTTCTAAAATGACAGTCAGATATAGTTTTCATTTTGATGAAGAAGGGACAGAAATTTTACTGATACTGTGAACACTTGAAAAATTTATTTCACGGATTTCCAGCCTCGAACCTATATTTTTTTGAGATAAATAATTTTTACTCGCGTTTTTAATGTACTTAGCATCTTACAATGTACTACGCATCTTATTCGTAAAATTTTCTAAGAAACGGTAGTCAGAATTTGTTTTTAATTTGGTGAAAAAAGTGACATTATTGTAATGATTACAATGAACAAAGTGATTAAATATGAGAACATTTTACACTACCTTTTTATTTTTTCAAATAACGCATCGCTTGACTTTTTCTCGCAATAAAAATATTAAAAGACGTACTATGGACCGTGATAAATCCCAAGAAATAACATTTAAAAAAAATAATAAAAGAAATTGGTAGCTACTATGGGAGTAAAGTGTATATTGTATAGCTTTTGTTTGTTTACATTTTCTTTGCTTTGATTTAGTTATCATTTTTGTTAACGTTTAAATTATCACAGGATGATATCAAATTTAAGTAGCAAAAATAATTTTCGAAACGAATTTCCAAATCCATAAACAGATGCTAAGTTATACATTTTGCTACATTTTACCTTTTGAGAGAACAACAAAACACAAAAAGCTTGACAATCGGCCACTACATAATGTAAACTGTTTATTGGTCATTAATATCATTATTATTATTTACTCTACTAGTCATTGGCAAAATGAGTGTTGTTTTGGGTTTGATGGCGTGCGCACCTTATTTGGACGTCATCACACTTTTCAACTGTGTTCAAGAGTAATAGTAAACAGTGCGCGTGCGTTGCTATGGCGACAGCTGCTGTTTAATAATTTTTTTAGAATTCTTTTTTTCACTTTTAATTTTGTTATGCATTAAGTTTATGAGTTTAATTTTGAGACATGGGACCAGAGAGATCCCATAAATACTTCTTGAGTTGTGAATAAAAGAGAATTTCATCATTTGAACGATATTTTTTTTTTTTTTTGTCTCAATTAAGAATTAGACAACAACCATTTTGTCAATGGATAACCTGTGATCGCCGAAAGGCGATCACAATAATTTTGTTTCAAATTTTTCTAGATTCATATCGGGAATCTAGATCTAGATTTGTACACCTCATGCCAAACTGATTGTTTAAAGTTAATTGTATGCAAATTAAAATTTTCTTGCATTCCTTAATTAATTTTGTAAGTTAATATTTCGAAATAAATTATATTTTGAATATAAAAAATATTTTTAAATAAATTATGTTTCAGAATTGTTAAAGATTATTTTCGCAACACGTTAATAACAACTGTAGATAGGGAGTTTGTACTATCGAAACAAATATTCCAAAAACATGCATTTTATAGAACTCAAAGGCATGTAAATAGGAAAAAACCTATTCCGTGGAAAAAGTATGGTTAAAATTACCAAAATATGGAGAGAAAAAAGATTACCGTACTTCTGACACCATGGGAACAATAAAAAAGCTCGGTTATTTTTTATCGAAGTACTTTGGTAAAGATTTTGGTAAAATTAACAATAAAATATGGTTTTTTAATATGTGATAAAATTGTTAAATGCGGTAAAATTTGCTAATTTTGTCATGATACCTTAGAGCATGACATAAAAATTTTTTAATTTTTTTTTTTGGGTTAAATATATATTTTAGTTTTGCATTCGTTACTAAATGTGTGGTAATAAGAAGTATAATTTTAGAAACCAAAATCTTCAATAAATCTCTTCCATATGAATGGAAACATTACGAAATGAATGGGTTTAATAAGGTATAGTTTTGTTTTATAACCAGAGTTATGACTTTTTGTTTGTCAGAAATGTCATTGACATACAGTACGGTAAATTAATCAGATTTTTTTGTAATTATCATTTACTGTATTATTATTATTACTATTATTATTTACTCTTATTCTCTTTAACTTTTTTGAGGTGGAAAAAAAATCGCTATCTTGGTTCTTGTGATTTTCATCCTTTTCTTTATTAATTCGTTTAGATAACAAATGGCGCAAAAATGTATTATTATTACTATTTTTTATTTTCTAATTTATTACTTCTTGCTTCCTTTTTTTTATCAAAGGGAAAAGTTGTATTTTTTCATCAAAGGAAAACATTTAGCTACTTATAAAATTTTAACGTTTAACATGAGACAAATTTTTTTCTTCATTGAATTATATTATTTCTATATCATAGATAACAATTTCTAATGTTTTTACAATTAGGGCTGCAAGTGACGTCATCGTAGGCAAATTATAACATTTGTCGATTCAAAAACCAATCAGGTTCGACATACGCGTGTGGCGTCGCTTTCAGGTATCCAATTAAATCTGATTTAAATCATAGGGTTAAGCATAATCACTTCATTTCTTCTTGAGTAACAAGTGCTCAAATGTTCTTAATTTATCTTCAACCAAAAATAATAAAAGAAATTATTTAGGTAACTAAAAAATGCACTAAAACTAAGTTGTGGGAATAAAAAGAAGACAATTTTGGAAATTTGCATTTTAATTCTATTAACTACATCAGTATTTAAATCTTTTATGTTAAATCTTTTAAATATTTAATTTTTATAAGCTTTCCTTCGTTTTAAGAATATTTTTATATACGAACATTAATTCTAATTAGTAATGTTAAAATTTCATTTATTCAATTTAAATTACCGAATTCAATTAACTTGACACTGGCGAATAAATGTTTCATTTGAGGAAAAAAAAAACTATTTATAATGAAGTCGTCGAGAGAGATAATTTACTTTTATTTTTATTATAGTTTTTCTGCTTATTTCAGTTTAAGTTTTTATTCGTATTTCTTTCTTTCATACGAACAGCTGTAAAGTATCCATTTCTTTGGCAAAGCATTTGGCTTCATAAATACGAAAAATCGCCAAATTCATACAACCATACACGGCATGTGTTTCATCCGTAACGCAATATCCCTCTGCGGGTGAATCACACAGTTCGAAATAGCCAGTACGGAATAAGAAGTAAAACGAAAACGATTGTCCTCTTTCATTAACGTTTGAAAGGAAAAAAGCCGAGCATTGATATATTAATATTTAATAATCGGTGGCATTGTTGATTAATCGTTCGAAATGTGTTACGGAGTATCTGTTTATGTGAAAGATTTCGCTTAAATTGAGGATAGAATATTTCCATCTCATCATTTGGATTTATTATTATTTCTTGTAAGTATTAATTTATTTAATTAATTTAATAGTAAATATTCTTTCTAATTTTTGTGTAATAATATTTTTGCTAACTTAATTATTTAATAGTTTATTTCTTCCTTCATATTCAATCAAATTCGGTGAATTGATTATTAGATTTATGAATGTTTTAAGTTATTGAATTTAGAATGTGGACGATTATTAATTTTATTTATAAATACTATTTACATTGATAAATTATTTGATTGTGTATAATGTCATAAATGGTTGCGATGAAAATTTTTCAACGAAAAAGGTGAAAATGTTCTAGAAAATTATTTGTCATTTAATTTACATATTCAGTTCGATTAAAGATGAATTAAATAAGAAAACAAGCACTTTGTATATTTTTATTAATTACTAAACAATTCACTAGAATAAAAGCGTTTTCCTATTTTATATATTTATAGATGTTGTACTCATGTTTAAGATTTAAGCATACTAAATGAATTATATTCTACATATAAATATGTACGAAGTGAATTAATACGATCGTTTATGAAACTAATGGTCACAATGTAATGGTATTTTAAATTGCTTTTATTTATTTCAGTTAGCGAGTTATGAAATATCATTATAATTTATAATACTGTATTAAAATAAATTGAATTCTAGAAGTTGGGCTGTATCAGTGATGAAAACAAGTGAATTAATTTTAGAAAAGATTTGATTTATCGCATCTTTTTATTTGTTTCATTTCAACTCAGGCAAAAATAATTTTTGATGGATTGTTGACTATATATTCAACAAACTGTGTTGTCTATGTTTAAAATTTATTTTTTTAACTTAAGGAATTTTAATTTATACCTAGTTATGCTATTATTTTAATAATATTTTAGTTTTAAAATGAGATTAATAAACATTAGGTAATTTTTGTAAATAATATTCATTAAGACAATTGCTGATTTATCGTCTGCGGACTTTACATACAAATTAGTTTAATAAAATCAAGCAGTTAAGATGTTTTTTTTTAAATAACTCTTAAAGTACTTTACTCATCAATTTTTTTAAAACTTTCATTGCATTATGCAATTTTTCATTAATATTTTAAATTTCCAGATGACCTATTTTATTTAATATCTTACAATTTATAAAAACATTAACAATAAACCTCAAATCCTTAAGAAGGGACCAACATATTAATTATAATCTTTTGCCGTTTTTTATTCATTAATTTTGTCAAAGTTAAATGTAGTTTTGAAAACAAGTTTTTTTTTATTCGATATAAATTCAAATTTATAAATTCAAATGTGAATTGGTAGCATGATTTTGGAGTTATTTTTTCACCTGTCATGATCACGGTTTTTTAAATGTCATTATTCTTTTTTTGGAAATCAATTAAAATCCTGTTTCCAAAAGTCATTATCATCTTACTCTTCATTTTATTACTCCGTCAGTAATGCATTTATCATCTTGATAAGCGGAAGTTGATGAAGGCAACAGTAAAAATAGACTGGGGTTGTTTTCTTTTTTTCGATTTATTCATTCAAAACTTCTCTAAGTCGTTATTTTTATGAAGCTTTATTATATTATATGTATCAGGTAAGATTATTATAAAAATGGCTTCTTCTTTCTTGAATTAAACGTAACATTTTTATTTTCTATTAGATAAAATAAAGTATTTATGAATGTGCAATTTTTTTTTAGCTCTTAGAATTAATTGTTTCTCTCTATATTGTTTCTTTAAATTTCCATTTATTTTATTTTAATTCTCGGAGTGCGGATACAAAATATATTAAAAATATCGAAAAAATACCTAACAAAATATTTTAAAAATAAATAAAAGTATGTAAAACATGTATTAAAAAAATTTATATTGGAATAAAGAAAACTCAAAATAAAGAATTTCTATGTATGATTTCAGTTGAATTCTTTAATTATATAACTAATAAGAAATCGGAAAATTGTTTATAGGTAGAATTTGTTTGTATTTTATATTTTTAAGTAAGAAAATTGTGTAACATTGTTAACGTGGAAATTATTAAGTTATCGACAGTTAGTGATAAAAAAAGAACCTTTTAAATATTGAGTTTTGATGATCATTATTTCGTTGTTCTTTCTTAAGCTATTAGATCGGCAACATGATCAGTAGCACCAAGTTTTCGTAGTGAATCTGATTAAAATATTTAAAATATTGAAAAATTTTAACAAACAAGTTTAGCAAATTGTTATTATAGTTCATTTCATCTTGCTGGAAACAAAATGAAAGTAACCATGTTATGTTATTAATGATTTTTGTCTGCAAAATATTAGTCATATTTTTTAATCATGTTTAGAACCAATTTGTTAGTGTTTATTAATTTATTAATATGTTTTAATCCGCTTTTAACTTTTGATATATGAAGATATTAAGTAGTAAATTTTATGTCTAGAATTTTGAAGTCTTAAGTTAGTTGAAAATCGGAACTAAAATAACTTAGTTGAAAATCGAAACTAAAATAACTAACAAGTACGTATCAGTAATACGTACTTGTTAGTTATTTTAGTTTCGATACCATGTACATTTGTGCTTACCAAATGGAGACAATATTATTAGTTTAAATAAAATATTTTTGTATTGTATTAAACGAATTTTTTTATACAATATTAGTTACTTTAGAAACGGCAATTAATAAAGTTAGAATTATGTATTACTTATTTTTGACACTACTATGAGGGAGATGTAAAAATTATTATAAAATGTAAAGTTGTCTTACAATATACTGTATGGTATCTTTTTTTCTTCTTCTTTTTTTTAAACAGTTTTCTGTTTCCCCCTCTAAATTTTTTATTACGTTGCACAGCTATTATTAGTTTAGTTGCCCAATTTTATTCCTTTTTTTTCCTTTTAGTTTTTTTTATTTACAATTGAGCTATTTTAACATTTTCGCTTGTAGCGTATTGATTATTATTAAATCTATCAATTTAAATCCTAAAATCTCCTACATATCTAATTACCAATTAAAATATTTTGTAAATAAGTTTAAAATTATCAAATTTTTTTAAAAAACTGAAATGTTACATTAAGCTTTCCTCACTTGTTTTGCTTTTGCAAATTTGACATATTTTATTTTATTGGCTCAAAATGTTTTTTCCTGTAATTTCCCATAAAAATTGATTTTATAGAATAAGCTGCGTACGATAACGTGTTATTTACACCTGTGTTGGCGACTGAATAACTCGCATGATGTTATTTGTGAGTAAGATAAAAGCGCTGAAGCTGATTCATTTCCATATTCAACCTTGATCAAGGCCGAGCAACGTGTTCGATGTCAGACATCTGCGTACAGTCAGCTGATAAAACTTGCATTTTGTTTGAACAGAATTTTGTGTGATAAAGTTAGTAATATATGGCAGTTTCAATTTAGTTACTTTCAGCTTTTTGAACTCTGCTTTTTAAACCCTTTTTCTAGAATTTTTCATTTAATTGTATCTAAAATGTGAAAAATTCATTATCAAAGAAGTGTGACAAAATTGTTTTTATTTTATGCTATCTACGAACGGTCTATCCATTAACTTTAAATGTTTATCAAAATATCCTATTAATTTTGAGGTCAACTCTGAAGACGAGGGACCTGCGGTGTCTTATGTAAATTGGGTTTCGAAAAGTACTCATTTTTGCTTACCAGCCAGAAACACATACATTTAAAAGGAAACGAAAATTGATGGTAATGAAACTCTAAAACATGCTGTGTCTATCGCTTAGCATATTTTATGTCTGTATTGTTGTCTGAACAGCAATCTTGACAACAATGCTAAACTTACCAGCCATAGTTAAGATTTAAAAACCAGTTACCTGTGATGATACCATGACGATCTTTTTAGATCTTGGAAAAGATCTTTAATATATCTTCTCGATTAAGATCATAATGATAATGCTCATCATCTGTCAAGATGATGATATTTGTTGATCATCTCTGATTATAACTGAATTAAATTCGTGACTGAATAGCGGAACACTCCAAAGTGTTAAATGCACCAAAAAAAAAAAGAAAACAAATCTCGTGAAAAAAATCTTTTGTTCGAAAAGTCTTGCATTGAATAATTGCCCATTACATTTTTATAAATTTTGAAACTAGATACTTACTATTAGAAATTTTTTTCGGCAGTATTTTATTTAAAAAAAGAAACAAACGGATTGTTAGGGCACAATCGAGTTAATTATATGTGATAAATTTTTTTTTACTGTCACTGATGAATTGTACTTTATTTACTCCACAAAAATCCGTGACTTTTTAGTTGATACTTTTTAATATGAAAGAAAAGAAAGTGTCACTAACTAACATATATTTTATATTAACATATATTATAACGTATATTTTAGTTCTTCAAAGATTTCTGGTGCATAAAGCTATTTCATTTTTCTAATCTTGCAAAAATCAGTGAAGGGTAATCGACTTTTTAAGTGCAACTAGCTGTCTAATAGATCAACACCCTATATTGAGATTTAATTTATATTGTTTCTATTGCCTACGATATAAAAAAAAAAGTTGTTTCTTTTTTTCCTTTTACGTACAGTAAAGTTTCCTTTCGGTTTAATAGCTCCTGTGTAATTATGGGCCGGACTTGCAGTTTATCACTTAATTGATGCGTAATTGTGCATGGGGGAGGAGAACTAGATATGTTTTCGAAAGTTCTCATAAGTTACATTCGGAGGCGCCTTATTTCTAAGCCACGTTTTCTAAATTATATAATCGTCTGCAGTTGCTATGGCTAAGGGGCAGATCCTGCAGCAATCAGAATTTGACAGATTTATTTTCATTTTATTGTAATGGATGTTATGGTACGGTTGGGTGGATTGGATTAACTTAGAATATGATATTGAGAAATAGACACCTTATCGCGGAATAAAATGCCTGTCTGATTGCCTGAAATATTGTTATTTAATTCATTTTTGTTTAAAACTGTTGTTGATTTTATTGAATTTTTTTTATTTAAAACTCGTAGTTCAAATATTATGCAATTGAAACTAATTGGGGAAACATAACCAATGACACTTT